TTGGATATACTGCAGTCAGGTGAGTAGAAGCAGGATCACAGTGGGACCGTCACTAGTGTAATTTGGTCGTCGTCCAAAGGTTGGACAAGTGTTGAAAAAGTCTTTGTACCAAGATCCCATGATGTTGCAGTGCCCTGACGTGTGATGAATGGCTTTGAAAACCAACAAGTTGAAGAATTGAGACATTATGCAACATATGTTGCATAAATGTCAATTCTTCACTAGTCGGTTTTCAAAACCATTCATCATAAATAGATTACCTAGGATAACCTAAAAAGTCAAATTGACTTATTTCTATTTTGGTCCTACATGTAACATAAAATATGTTTTATTACAATAGGATGTTAATAATTTTCCTTGTACATATACAAAATTGATATATCTTTTTGTATATATTAAGGAAAGAGCCTTGTTATGCCAAGCATAACCACTTTATAATCATTATGTATAATCATACCATTGTTTTCATTTTTATAGCTGACAGTGTGCATTGTAACATTAAGTTTAAATTAGTTTTTTAAACATTAGCATTGGCTTGGTTTAAAGCATGGAGATTTTTTGAAGAGAGCTGACCTGTAAAATAAATAGGCCTCAAAGTGGTAAAAATATTCGATTTTTGGATGTTTTCCTGAGGAAAAGTTGGGCCTCCCTCCCCTCCACCCCCCCCCCCCAGTTTATTTTATTAGTTTTACTAGATCTTTTTCAGTTATCAGATGGCCTGAACCATGAACAGTCATGCTTGGTTATATTTTATTGATCCGAGAAATAGAGTGAATATCGATTTTTTTGTGTGTATACCTGGAGAGGGTTTCGGGGGTCAATGCCCCTGCGGCCTTGTCTGTGACCAGGTGTGATGATGGATACAAAATGGAGGACAGGTGTTCTATAGTAGAGGCCTGGGGATTTGATTAATGAACAGAGGAAAGCTTGCTTTAGTGATTGGAATGCCCACAGTGTATATTTTGGGCTCTTTGTCATTTGGAATTTGTTGAATTTTGTGTAAAATTATCGACTTCTCTGCACTTTATATAGTGTTTCTGATAGTTGAATGAGCAGTTTTTGTGCTTAATTGATAGAATGGAAGGCATACTAGCAAAATAGTTAAGAACTGAGCAATGGAATTGGCTTAAAACAGGGCTCAAAGTGGGTAAATTTGCTGTTGCATAAATTGTGCTCAGACTGCCAAGATTTTAAGTGCATACTTCTCTAAGTTTTCCACCAATTTTGTATTTTTGGTGTCATTACCTTCAGAAAAAGATTCTCTACCACTTCAGATGATAAAATTATAATTTTTTTTCTTGAAGGTCACAATAGTGAAAGGGTTCACATGGAGTTTACCTGGAGAGGATTTTGGGGGTCAACGACCCCGAGGCTCGGTCTGAGACCAGGCCTCATGGTGGATCAGGGTTTGATCAACCAGGCTGTTGCTGCTGGCCGCACACAAACTGGCGTACGACCCACAGCCCATTTGGTCAGGTACTGACTTTAGGTGTCTATCCAGTGGCTTCTTGAAGACAGCCAGGGGTAGGGATAGGATAGGATAGGATTTCGTTTGGATTTTTAACCCCGGAGGGTTAGCCACCCAGGATAACCCAAGAAAGTCAGTGCGTCATCGAGGACTGTCTAACTTATTTCCATTGGGGTCCTTAATCTTGTCCCCCAGGATGCGACCCACACCAGTCGACTAACACCCAGGTACCTATTTGCTGCTAGGTGAACAGGACAACAGGTGTAAGGAAACGTGTCGAATGTTTCCACCCGCCGGGAATCGAACCCGGGCCCTCCGTGTGTGAAGCGGGAGCTTTAGCCACCAGGCTATGTTGGGAGGCAGTTGAACAGTCTTGGGCCCCGGACACTTATTGTGCTGTCTCTCAATGTACTCGTGGTGCCCCTGCTTTTCATCAGGGGAATGTTACATCTCCTGCCGAGTCTTTTGCTTTCATAGGGAGTGATTTTCGTGTGCAGGTTTGGTACCAATCCCTCCAGGAACCTCCAAGTGTATATTATCATGTATCTCTCTCGCCTGCATTCCAGGGAATACAGATCAAGGACCTTCAACTGTTCCTAGTAATTTAGGTGCCTTATCGTACTTGTGTGCCATGAAAGCTCTTTGTACCCAGGGATGGTATGAGTTTTTGAAACTTAGTTCTGTTTAAGGATTTTCTTTATTTCATCAGAGGTTTGTAAAATAGTCAATATGTGTACTATATAATTCCAGATGTTTTGCCTTAGTCCTTATCTGTTTACTTTTTTAACAGTATGGCATCCTTAAAGATATGGAGAGCAATTGAGGAGTCTCCTTGGGGAGCATTACCAAGCATGGGTCCCCAATGGATGATTAAGTCATGTACAAACAACCAAGGATACTTGGCAATGGTGACAGATGGATGTGGACTCTGGGGTGAGAAGAGGAATGCTAAGTACATCTTGGAGCAGGCAGAGGTAAGTACCAAGATAACAAGAAAATAGGAATGTTCCATAACTTCAACAGAACCATTTAAGAATCTGAGGAGGAGTCCTTTTTTTTTTAATATCTTATACTAATCATTATTATGCATGTTATTCATGCACTCTGAAGGAGGGGTGTTAATGTTGCAGTTTAAAAACTGTAGTGTAAAGCACCCTTTTGGCAAGACAGTGATGGAATGAATGATGTAAAGTAAAAGGACACAAGTGCAACTAATGTGACATTTTTTTGTGGCAACGTTTCGCTCTCCAGGAGCTTTATCAAGCCGTTACAAACAGTACATGGACCTAGAGGGTATATATAGGCTGAGAGTGAGGTGCAATACTAGTGGTAGTAGTAGTAATACTACCACTAGTATTGCACCTCACTCTGAGCCTTGAGCACTTGTGTCCTTTTACTTTACATATTGTCGGTAATTCTACCAACATTATTACACGGAGTGAATGATGGTGAAAGTTTTTCTTTTTCAGGCCACCCTGCCTTGGTGGGAATCGGCCAGTGTGCTAATAAAAAATACTAATAAAAAAAAAGTTATTGAAAGGTAATGAAGCAGCACATGAGAGATAGAAAGGAATAATGAATGGTATTATAGTATATGTGATTAAAAGTACTATTACAATAGATCACCACCTTTTGTGCCTCTGTTTACAGAGGCACCTTTTTATCTGTTTACTATTCATTTTTCATTTCCTTGTGCTTCGATGTGGCCAGTCATTGAGGTGGCAAAGGCAGGTTAATTCCCTTCCCACTTGGCTCAGGCCTTTTTGTTTCATAGTAGACCTAGCTTTAATCATGGTATCAAAAAGGAAATCTAGTGTAGGTAAAGGTGCAAAGAAGTGTAACCATGAAAATATGCCTCTGCTGAAAGGTGGTGCACGTATGGTTGCTGCAGCCAGAGCCTGTAGTGAGAGGGAATCAACATTTCGTTCAGTTCAAGACAGTGAGGAAAAAACAAGGCTTTTGTGATGAGTAACTAAAATTTGTGACCTGTTGAAAAAATGGGGAAGCAGCCAGTAGAGCTAAATAAAACTGAAATGCTGAATGGCTGGATTCAGGAGAAAGCAATGTACCCCATTTAATTTCCTTATGATCCATGAGAAGGCTTATCTTACTATAAAACTGTAATCAGAAAGGAATGCCTGAAATGAATATACATTTAGTCATGGTTGGTTTAATAATTTTAAAATGCTCAGTAAGCTTCATAATGTAAATTTCAGTGGTGAGAATGCCTCTGCATTCTCTGAGGGATGGCTATGCACCTGAGCAAGTGTTTAATGCTGATGCAGTAGGTTGTTGTTGAAGATGCCCTCTAGAATCTTACATCAACAGGTATGAGAAAAGTGCTCCAGGATTCAGTGCAGCAAAGGACCATTTCAGCTTGCTGCTGAAGGTGATAGGTGACTTTAAAGTGCAGACCCATGCTTGTTTATCTCTCAAAGAATCTCCATGCTGTAAAACAAAAAGTTAAAATCCCAAAGTTTTTCATTCCACCCATTGCATTTTCATGTGTAGCTCTGTTTTTCTGGAACAAAATTCAGGTAGAAAGTGGTTGTATACTAAATCAAATCTGATACTGTATTTCTTTTTAGCCACAGTAGCCATTTTTCACTAAATTATGATGACCCAAAGAAGGAAACATTCACCATCATTCATGAACTTTTTTTTTTATAAAAATACAGCACTCACTAATACTGTACCTGTTGAACATGTTACATACTGTATTACATATTGTATTACCTGGCACTGAAAAATTTTTATATAAAAAAAGAACCAGAAAACATAGTGCCATGAAGCTTTGTTAGGAATACATTCAGAGAAATTATAAAAAAATAGATGATTGAAATATAAATGACTTCATTATTGCTGTTTGTCTCTTAAGGTAGATTAGATAAATAACACCACACCCAGCCTACCATCCTCAGCCATCCTTCAAACTGTTAGGTAACTTCTCAGTCCTCACCCAGTGTACCAGTTCTCAACCTGCCAGTCCTCACCCAGCCTACCAATACTCATCCAGTTTACCTGATCATATTAATTTTTCCTAATGACATTGTCTCTGGAAAATGGCATATGGTTTTGTGAATAAACTCTGTGAAGCATCCATAAAAATAAACTTCCCTTTTTCAATATCATGGAAAGTGATCATGAATTTCTACCCAAATTTGTTTAATATGTTGTATGCAGTAAGTCTTCAATTGGCCCTGGGATGTTTCTGGTTACAGTATCTTCATTTCCAACTTATTAAGATTTTTAACTGAAGATATATCTTGGATAGCTGTTCACTCATCTATTCTCAATGCATTACATTACTTGGGTTAAGAAAAATATAATTCCTGGACCATTGGTGTAAGGAGAGCAACAGGTGTCTAGGGAATATTGTCTCCTAGGTAGAACTTCAGACACAATTCTCTACTCAAATTTTTATTTCTTTTGATATAGAAAGTCAATCAGATTTATCAGTGCTATACAGGAGTGAAAAATTATTCTTGAAAATGTTGTTTCATAGTCTCACAGTATACCAAGATTTTAATGTTACACTAACATAAAATATTTATTCAGAATATACATAATTAAATATATGGTGTGTGCTGTATATTATGGTAAAATACCTTTTTTTAATTCATGCATTCTTCTTGTTATCAGGTTTGGTCTCCATGTTTAGAGAGTGGCAGTAAGGAGATATCAGATCTGGCATTAGCAGAGTTGACCAAACCAAGTGTCAAAGCAGTGTGGACTGACAATAGGGAGAGTGTAACCCTTAGTATTTCTTCCGAACTACATGGCTTTTCATACAGATGGGAGTTTGAACTGAAACGTCTTTCGGATGAGTTGGTTAGTTGTATGATATGTGATCCAATTCAGTATCTACCATAAAAAAATATATAATTAATGATGATATCCCCTGAAAGCCTTTGATTAGCTTTGTACTTTAATGTTTTATTTCAGTAGGTAAATGGTGTATATTGGTGTGGAATATTGGGATTAATAATGGTCTAACATCTTACCTACAAATACAGTTATAGATTTTTTAGATACAGTACATGTATTTTGATTATTTATTAAAATTCTATTTTTTATTTTATTTATTTATTTATTTATTTAGTAATTTTAGCATACATACAGAGGTACAAAAAAATACAGGTAAGAGCAGCATGCCAAAGCCACTTATATGCATAGCATTACGGGCTGGCTTAAAATTAACTTAAGATTAACTAAGCAATGATGAAATCAGTGATAAAACATTATTGTAAACAGATAACTATAAAGCACAAATGAGTATTACAAAGACAGGTCATATAGTTGCATGCCCTTACTGTACATTCAGTGAATGGAGTATTCTGTTAGGTAGTGTATTTAAAAAAATAATAAAGTTAGATTGGGTCCTAGGTTTAACATTTGTGTGATATAATTGTGAGTAACATTTAGGATATACAATTTATAAGGTTCAGTTATTCAGCATTTTTTTAGTTTTGAGTGAGTAAGTGATCTTTGAGAAGAGAAATTGAATTTATAAACAGTAGTGTTTCTTTTATATTTACAGGTAATGAATTCCAGATTTTTTGGGCCTTTTATGTGCATTGAGTTTTTGCATAGCGTGGATGGACACGAGGAACATCAAAGAGTGATCTGTGCCTTGTGTTATGGTCATGTGTTCTGTTGAAAGGTTGGCAAGGAGATGTTTGAGGGGAGGGTTAATATCAGAGTTAAGTGTTCTATGTATGTAATAGGTGCAGTAATAAGTATGGATGTTTTGTATGGTGAGTAGGTTGAGTGTTTTGAAAATTGGTGGAGTGTGCTGCCTGTAGTGAGAATTTGTTATCATTCTAACTGCAGCCTTTTGTTGAGTAATTAGTGATCTGAGATGGTTAATTGTTGTTGAGCCCCATGCACAAATTCCATAGGTGAGATAGGGGTAAATAAGAGAGTGATAAAGGGCCAGGAGGGCTGACTGTGGAACATAGTACCGTATCTTCGATAGTATGCCTACAGTCTTGGAAATTTTCTTAGAAATTTGTTGTATATGTGTATGCTAAAATAAAACTTGCTATGCAGTATACTGTAATTAAAGTACGGTGGAGCCTTGGCTTACGAATTTAATCCGTTCTGTGACCTTGTTCGTGTGCTGAGTCAGTTTTCCTCATTTAAATTAATTGATATGCAATTAATCCATTCCAGCCTCTCAGGAGGCATGACAGAATAATGCTAATATCAACTCTAAGGCTTAGTTATCTATCACAATTCATCTAATATGACATAAACAATATCAGTAACATAAAAACATGATATCCTAGGTAGTAGGTTGGTAAACAGCAACCGTCCAGGGAGGTACTACCGTCCTACTAAGTGAGTGTACAACGAAAACCTGTAATTGTTTTACATGATGGTAGGATTGCTGGTGTCTTTTGTCTGTCTCATAAACATGCAAGATTTCAGGTATGTCTTGCTACTTCTACTTGCACTTGGGTCACACTACACATACATGTTCAAGTATATATATACACACACCTCTGGGCATTCTTCTATTTTCTTTCTAGTTCTTGTTCTTGTTTATTTCCTCTTATCTCCATGGAGAAGTGGAACAGAATTCTTCCTCCGTAAGCCATGCGTGTTGTAAGAGGCGACTAAAATGCCGGGAGCAAGGGGCTCGTAACCCCTTCTCCCATATAAATTACTAAATTTAAAAGAGAAACTTTTGTTTTTCTTTTTGGGCCACCCTGCCTTGGTGGGATACGGCCAGTGTGTTGAAAGAAAGAAAGAAACATGATGTATCCTCTAGAATGAATAAAATAGGCCATAATACGGCAAGTGATGGCAACGCCGGCAGCAGCAGAAAGCATCAGCCATTTACTCTCCCGCTCTCTTATCTTCCCAGTCCATAACCCCACACCTAGCTTGTGTTTATCTGTGATTAGTGTGAGGTTGTCACATATGTAACCACAGGTGTGGTCAAGACAGATGTATATATAGGTGAAGACATGATCACTGTGGCCACTGGTGGTGGTGGCATCCACAGTGGTGGTGGTGGCAATGGCAGCCACAGTGGTGGTGGTGGTGGCAGCCAACTGCCTCACTCTCTGCTGCTGCCTTCTTCGTTTCTCTAGCATTTTTCGTAGTTTCTAATCACTTCCTGAGCTTCTTGCTGATTGTATGCAAATACTGTTTCTTTGGGCAAGGTATTGTGTAAGAAATTTGTACAATATAAGACAAAATTACGCATCCCAAGGGTCTGCTGCAGTCACTCAGAGCGGCACACCTTCTCTTCCTTTTGACCCTTGGTCGGCACTGAGATAGCCGTGGTCGTAGCAGCTGTACCTACAGCCACCCAGAGGGTTACCATTTGGCACAAAAATATGAAAAAAAAATTAAAAATAAAAAAAATATCTAAAAATGACAACATATTATTATTACTATTATAATGTATTATTATTATTGTTATAATTATAATTATTATGGGTTGTAAATGCAGCAGTGAGGAGACAGTTGGAGGCAGTGGAGATGTCCTGTCTAAGGGCAATGTGTGGTGTAAATATTATGCAGAAAATTTGGGAGTGTGGAAATTAGGAAAAGGTGTGGAGTTAATAAAAGTATTAGTCAAGGGCAGAAGAGGGGTTGTTGAGGTGGGTTTTGGGCATTTAGAGAGAATGGATCAAAGTAGAATGACATGGAAAGCATATAAATCTATAGGGGAAGGAAGGCGGGGTAGGGGTCGTCCTCGAAAGGGTTGGAGAGAGGGGGTAAAGGAAAGGTTTTGTGGGCAAGGGGCTTGGACTTCCAGCAAGCGTGCGGGGAGCGTGTTAGATAGGAGTGAATGGAGACGAATGGTACTTGGGACCTGACGATCTGTTGGAGTGTGAGCAGGGTAATATTTAGTGAAGGGATTCAGGGAAACGGGTTATTTTCATATAGTCCGGATTTGAGTCCTGGAAATGGGAAGTACAATGCCTGCACTTTAAAGGGGGGGTTTTTGGGATATGGCAGTTTGGAGGGATAATGTTGTTATCTTTATATGTGTATGCTTCAAAAACTGTTGTATTCTGAGCACCTCGGGCAAAAACAGTGATAATGTGTGAGTGTGGTAAAAAGTGTTGAATGATGATGAAGTATTTTCTTTTTGGGGATTTTCTTTTTTTTTTTCGGGTCACCCTCCCTCGGTGGGAAAAGGGCCCGACTTGTTGAAAAAAACAAAAAACATACGTATTAATAAAATTTTTAAATTATTATTATTTATTAATTTAGGGAACTGGAGCACAGATCCAATTCCCTAGATCAAAAAGCCCATCACCATGTACATATAATTAATAATAATTATAACAATAAAATAAAAAAAATAATATAAAAAAAATTAAAATAATAATAATAATAATAATAAAATTACTGAACAGTAATAGTAATAAATAATAACAACAGTAAGGAGAACTTCAAAAGGCGGGCCAGTAGTTGGTGCCACCATAAAGCAAAACATTGGTAACCACTTTTAGTACACTTTTCCCCTGTCTAACTTAGTAGTCTATTAGTATTAGGTTAAGTCTGCCCGAAATGCCTCGGCATGATAGTGGCTTTCTTTGCCCAATTAAAATTTTTTTTATTATTATCACAACTGGCGATTCCCACCAAGCAGGTGGCCAAAAAGAAAAACTCACCCATTACTCATCACTTTTCTTGCCAGAAGGTGCTTTACACTACAGGTTTTTAAACGAACAATTACACCCCCCTTCAGAGTGCAGGCACTGTACTTCCCATCTCCAGGACTCAAGTCCGGGCCTCCGGTTTTCCCTGAAAACCCCCTTTATAAGTTATTGCTCACATCCAACGACACGTCAAGTATTAAAAACCATTTTCTCCATTCATCCATCAAACAGCTCCCCAGCTGCTGGAAGTCCAAGCCCCTCGCACACAAAACCCCTTTACCCCCTCCCTCCAACCTTTTTCCCAGGTGACCCTCCCCGCCCTTCCTTCCATTACAGATGATACAATCTTGAAGTCATTCTTTTCGCTCCATTCACTCTTACATGTCACCAAACCCCCTCAAAAAACCCTCCTAGCCCTCTGGACAACAGTTTTTGGTATCCCGCACTCCCCTTTAAATTTTCCCAAACTACGAAATTTTCTGCATTATATTCACACCACACATTGCCCTCAGACATGACATCTCCACTCCTCCAGCCTTCTCCTCGCTGCAACATTCATCACCCAGCTCACACCCATAAGAGCGTTGGTAAAAACTAACTTCATCATTCCCCTCTTTGCCTCCAAGGACAAAGTTCTTTGTCTCCACAAAAACCCTAAGTGCCCACTCCCCTTTTTTCCCCTCATCAATTCTATGATTCACCTCATTTTTCATAGAGCCATCCACGACACGCCCACCCCCCAAATATCTGAATACATTCCCCCTCCATACTCCCCTCCCTCCAATCGATATCCAGTCTTTCATCACCAATCTTTTTGTTATCAAACCTTTCTCTTTCCTTATTCACCTTTAATTTTCTTTTTTTGCAACCCTACCCAAATTCCTCCCCAATCTCTGCAATTCTCTTTTTAAAACTCCCAAGGCCAGTGTCATCACAAAGAGCAAATTGACAACTCCCATTTGTGTGTGATTCTTTATTTTTTTAACTCCACGCCTTGCCAAGACCCTCGCATTCACTTCTCTTACAACCCCATTTTAAAAAATTTAAACAACCACGGTCATTACACATCCTTGTCTAAGGCCACTTTTACTGGGAAAAAAATTTCCCTCTTTCCTACAACCTAACTTGACCTCACTATCCTCGTAAAAACTCTTCACGCTTTCATAACCATCCTTTCAAACCCTAACCTGCAACATTCCCACATTCCCCCCTATCCACCCCGTCTACGCCTT